AGATTGAAATTTTGGGAGATAATATTGAAGACATACTAGTAGCAAATAGAAATTATTACATTTCAATTACTAAATTTCAATCGAAAACTTGCCTGAGGTTTTGTTGCAATTTCGAAAAAAAGAAGACACAGTCCTATTGTCCTCTCCATATTCAGACTTTCAAAAATATTGACATTTTGAAATTGGTTGAATATATTTTAGCTGAAAAATTTAATACTATGTCTGTTGATATACACGAATACAAATGTTTCGTCATTTTGTTATTTTTTTTTATATCAGCATTTACCAAATTGAACAATTTTTGTAGTGTTGCGATTTGTCATTCTAATGATCTTTGGAAACTGACTTGGAAGCCAAAATTTAATCAATTGTATTTGTTACTAAATTTAATAAACAACGCAATACTAAAAATTCAAGTGTGCTACCATTTCCTTTTAGACTGTGTACACAGTAGGGTCGTGCTACAAATTGATGAAGTTGAGTTCACGAAATCGTGACTATATTCAATCAAGAAATTGCTAAAAGTAGATGACTCACTTTGGCATTCCGTTGTCAGAGTAATTTCCCTCTGCGTGTGCATTTCATGGCTGTTTCGACCCATATTCTATCATCGTGTATCCAGCAATTGACTTAATGATCCGAGTGAATCTACTCACGATGCGGGAACTAAGTGCATACACGAGGTAACATATTGGATGCTCACACGGTTAACAAGCATTCGAGCAAACAACCTACAACGACCTTGACAAAGCAGCTTCAGGTCTTGTAATGGAGGGCGTTAAGTACGAAACTGCGCAATCTGCTATAATTGAATACCGATAAAAATACAGGGAAATGATTAAAACCGTAACAGCTGAGTAAGGATCACATTAGAGGAAATGACGAATCTACTAACACTCCGTATTATGTTTGGCATGTGCGAAAGCCTTTTATCGGTATGAATAAATAAGCCTTATCTCGCATATTTCTCCAAGAGCACAGTCATTGCCTGTAATTCTAATGAACTTCTTTATAACAGTATTTTAGGACAAAGTGAATCTCAACGTAATTCTTCGCACATGGGTCAGCTACGACATAACTTGTTATTTATTTTATATTTTGATGAGGAAGTATTCAGTTCTGTAATGGGTACTCATATCTATTCTGCTTTGAAGCAACTATTATACAGTATTTATTCACAGGTGATACTCTTACTTAGCAGTTTACATGTTGATCCTTAACTAATATCGGGAAATATTTTGGCGCACTAACGTTAGATATATTTTTGCAATAATAACGTATATACAATTGATACAGAGCTTTATTATTTTATGCAATTTCTTAACATGTACTGATCTCAATTTGGATTTACAAAACAAGTAAAACTTGTAATATTATTGTCTATCAGTATTAATCTTAGTCTAACAACAATATGCAGAAAATTACATAAAAAGTTAAATCCACGTATCAGTTTGTGGCCAATGAAAAACAATTACTATTTATTCCTTCGGTTACTAAGTACAAACCCTGATGATTAATCCTGGATAGAACAGTTTCATTTTCCTGTATTCCTTAGATATATGTATTTATATATAAATATTTGTATTATATTCTGTAAACAAAATTGTACTTTACATTTATAATACCTTTAACTGTATGATTGTACTGTGTATTTAACTGTATAATATCAAATGTTATTATTTTTCATATTTCTATAATATATTCTGGTGCGATGAAATAGCTGTTAGGGGTTAAAATGCTTTTACAGTAGTCTAGATCTATAGAAGTTAAACTGTTGCATAACAAGATAACGTGGGTGCATTCAAAGTCTTCGTATCGAGTGTTCATGGATGCAGTCTATCGAAGGTGCATAGAATCTGAAGGTATGTGCATGCGTGCACATATGGTGAGCAGGGTACATGCAGCAAGATGCAGCAGGACGGAACATTAGATAGAGTTGGGTTGCTCATGAATTATAGAGATCGCCGTCAATTACGAGATTGAAGCCAAACACCTTACACGCGGCAGTATATCGCTGATAATAATGGTTATCGCCTGCATCTGGAAAGATATCGGTAGCTGGGCAGATCAGTTCCGTGAATTGTAGTGTTTATTAAGCTTCTAAGAAAAAAACAAGCAAAATGTAATGTTAGCTAACATTGACGCGATAAAACTGTTTGCTAATGATATCATGTACATGCGAATGCCTAATTGCTACTTCTGAAAATTGGAAGAGCGGTTTCAGCATAAAAGTACAAAACCAGAACACACCATTTAGTAAACATTATGATAACCACGAGAAATGGTTCTCCTGTTTACATTAATTTGCCAATAGAAATTTAAATTTCCCTAATTATATACATGATTAATATTCAATCTATAATGGAGACATAAATTAGAACAACTGAACAGGAAATATTATCTATTAAAACTATATATAACCATTTGATTGTAAAGCTCACTTTTTGTAGGTGACGATCGATCGATAACAGATTCAACAAGAAAACATTTTCATCAACCAGCACTCCTGTCTAGAACAACTTTTTCAGCGTAAGACTTTTATAATTGTACCGTGATAATTGAACTGATAAGCTGAGCGTAGATGGTATTTTAGTGACCGCGCAGCAGGCTACGCTTCAATATTCAGTCTTGATACGTTGCTGTGATTTTGAATTTTTGCAGATATTCACGTAAAGAAACTCTATCATGGCTCAGAAGTTCGTAGTTTTGTTGGCAGTAGTGGCACTCGCTGTGCTGACTACCGAAGTGAGCTCTGCTGCTCAAAAAGTTTACGGCAGTGGCTTGAACAAGTCTCACAACTTGCTTCTTGGAGTCCGAAGACCTGGGGACAGACTTGTTCTGAGACAAAACGTAGTGAAGAATTCTTCGTTCATGCAGATCGTGGTTGACGAGAAATCCTTCAACACCCCGATGTACGAGCAAATCACGGCGGTCCAAGTTCTTGATCAGAAGACTGATGGCAACGGTGCTTACGCCAGCATTGTCTCAGGTGGACCTGGATCCAACTCTGTCAGCCTCAGATTCAAGAGTCAAAGGGGCCATGGAATCAACTTCGTTGTTGAGGTCTACGCACGTTAATCTAGTATTACTAGATCAATACCAATCGTGCCAACCAGACTAATTTGATTCTTTTATTTGTTAATCGTCACTTATCTTTTTAAATTTATTTACTTTTCTTCGCATTGTGAACCATGCTTTTATGAATTAATTTTCATAACTGCTTCTTTGTAATTCTTACTCATGTTATGTTAATGAAATAATAAAATTTTGGAAACTCTTGCGCTAATTGAGGTAGTTGTTATTACGTAATTTTCGTACGTTTTAAGCTGTTAAAATTGAAAATAGAGTCGTTAGTCGAATTATTAGGAGCATTCGGAAATGAAAGAGATTATTTCGTTTTGAAATAGACTAACAAGACTTGAATTTCTAACTAATAAATTCATGCATTGTTGGTAAGTGCTAATAATTAAATCAGCGACTGTAAAAATGTGGGACATCGAAAATAAAGGTAAACAAATATTAGGGTATATTTATTTCTCTTACTCAATTGACTTTCACTGTACTGAATGAAGTGGAAACAATTTTTTTACCTAATTTGTGACAAAAAAGTATGTTACACTACTTAGAGTAGTACACTGGGTGTAGAAAGTATTCGTACACTGATCAGTTTACAAAAAAAACTGTGTAAAATTGTAATTTATTAACTTATTTTTTATAAACAATGACATTCTACATATTTTCGAAAATTTCTAGAATAGATAGATTACAAAAAAATAGCTATTTATCTAAGTTGCGAAATTAACAAGAAAAAAACAATTAATCGATAGAAATATTGAAGCAATAAGTATTCGCACAACTGTTTAACTTTTAAAACTTGATTAAAAAAAAAAAAGAAATTTACATTAGTTTATAAGTATATAATACTTCCTTCGTGAGATGTACTTTTGATTTTATAATTATTGTAACTCTTCTAAGCATTAAATTAACTAAATTATTAGTTATTCGAAGTGGGATCTTCTTCAATTCCTCTATCAGAGCCATTTTTAAAAGTACTTTACTGGAAATTTGAGGTTTTCTAAGTCGTACGGAGCAATAAACTAATGTGTTTACTTGACAAACTCTACTGTAAATGGTTCGTCATAAGAATCGTACAAATACTTATTGCTTCTATACTTTTTACCCACTTTTCGCATTCTTTTGTTAATTTCACAAAGTATATTAACTAGTAAATGTTGTTTGGACTATATCTGCCTTAGAGACTTCCGAGAATATGTAAAATATTGATTACAAAAAAGAAGTTAAGAAAGTACAATTTCACACAAAAGTTTTCTGAGAAATTGATCGGTGTACGAATATATTCTATACCCACTGTATATAACGAGAAATTAATCTACAATATAAACTACAACTGGCAATGTCTCCTGGAACTTCTTATTTGAATCTATAGCCATACAACAAATTGGAACAAAAATCTATAATAAATTAAGCAGTTTTCCAATATTTACTAATAAGTCGGAATTACTATCTACATTTGTGTGATAAAACTGTTTGGGAACGATTAGTAAGGGATTTCTATGTTTAATTACGTTTCTGAAAATGAGTCAGAAACGAGCCAAAGGTTCCAACACAGATAAGAAACAGCAAACTAAAGTGTAACGTAAGCGTACAAATAATTATGAGAAATATCTCTCAATATTCCATTATTATACTAAAACAAACTACAATTTCTTTAAGCCTGTATATGATTAAGTTAAATCTATAATCCATAAACGAAATCAATTTTCTTAAAATTATTCAACATTGCGTTTAATCCCCCTACCAAAACAAAATATTTATCAGGAACGATAATCGATCGATATAAAATACAAAGAAAACATTCTCATCTTCAAACACTTGTCCCTGGAATAAATGTTTCAAGAACCAGTCGGTAAACTGATGCAATCATATCGCGATAAGTGGACTGATAAGACGACAGTTGGGACTATTTTAGCGACGCAGCAGCAGCAGTCTTTGAATTAACAGACGATCTTCTGCGGTGTCGTGAAGTATCCGTGATATTAAAGTACGTGCAAGAAAAATAGAAAAAGAGTTCATTATGTCAGCTCAGAAGATAGCTGTTTTCTTGGGGATAGTGGGCGTTGCTATTCTTGCTACGCAAGTAAACTCTACTCCTCAATGGGGTTATGCCAATAATGGCACAAACAAGTCTCATAACTTGATCGTTGGATATAGAATGCCTGGTGACAGGCTTGTTCTGAGACAAAGTGTGGTAAAGAATTCATCCTGGATGCAGATCGTCACTGAACAAAAGTCTTTCAACACGTCAAGATTCGATCGCATTACAGTAGTCCAAGCTCTGGATCAAAAGACCAACGGTAACGGTGCGTACGCCAGCCTTATCGCAGGTGGACCAGGATACAACAATGTCACGCTCAGATTCAAGAGTCAAAGGGGTCACGGAATCAACTTCATTGTCGAGCTGTATGCACGCCCTTAAACTAATTCTGCTGCATTGATGCCAACCGTGCTATTCAGATGTTTTTTTCAAATCTTCAAGAGTAACCTGCCTGTAAGACTTTTATATCCTTTATAAACCGTGTATTGGATAATCATTTTCTTTCTTACCACTCTTTTATATTATGTTAGAGGAACAATAAAATGTTTTGAAACTCTTGTGTCAATCGAACTAGTCGTTATTATCATGTATCTTTTTAGTTTGCAAGTTTAAACGTGTACCTTATATTTGAGTAACAAACGTTAGGAAGTAAACAATCTCATTGTACACTTACGTATTTTAGTGTATACGTATACTGATTTATAGACAACATTTTTATTAAGTTTTTGCGCAATTATACCAGTAACGACATTATCGTCATAATAAATACATTATTTTTAATAAAATAATTTTCTGATTACTTTTGATCCTATTACAGAATACTCAATTCGTTCATCGTGATATACAACTTCATTCTATAAATTACATTATAAGTATTATGGTGTTATATGTTAAAATAAGTTTTAATTTAATATATAACGGGTACAAATTGATTCTTATTTCGTTATTAAAAATTTATATCTAATTAAGAATTCCGTACATCGTGGCATTGGTGATTTAGTCTAGGTTTCCAAAAAATATATAAATTCTATTATGTTTTAAAAAACTGTATTTAAAAAAGTTGAACTGAAAATAAAATACAAATATAGATAGAAAATTAAAAGGAAAAAGTATTTATTTATACCGAATTATCGACTGAGTCGTAACTTCGGAAGGCAAAAATTATTTCTTTTTAACCGACTTCGAGAAGGAGGAGGTTACTCAATTCGACATGTATATACATACATATTTTTTTTTTTTTAAGGTATATTCACCGATTACGCCGAGATGGCTTGACCAATCGGAATGAATCCTGTTGCATCTTGTAGAGCTTGCCCCCCCCTCGGTGGTCCCATTTCACGACTTTTTGCGATTTGTCATTTTTTACCCGTTTTTTTTTACCAAAAAACCGTGATTTTTAGGTATGCTTGCCGATTACGCCGAGATGGCTTGATGAATCGGAGTGAAACCTCTTGCATTTTGTCGAATATTTCTTCCAGTTGGTCGCGTAAAAGAAACATTTTGTGATTTGTCATTTTTTACCTGTTTTTTTTTTTAAACAGAAAAATTTTGTCTTGCTTCTTATTCCGAGACGGATGGACCAATCAGATTGAAACTTCTTGCATCTGGAAGAACATTTGCTATTTGGTCCCATAACAAAACATTTGTCCTTGTCTTATTTTTTACCACTTTGTATCACTTTTTATCGCAAAAAGCATACTATTTCACGTATGTCTGGCCTGAAACCGATGAAATCGATGAAACCCCTTACATTTTGCTGCCGGAGAGGTTTTCGCAATGATCACAGATGCAAAAATTTATGAATTTCTGTATTGTTTATAACTATTGTTATCGCAAAATTCCTATTATATGCTGTAACTCGGTGAGGAAATTACCGAGTGCGATGAAACTTTTCGCATTTCATAATAGATGAATTCGTGATGTTCCCATTTGCAAAAATTTCTGGACACTTTTATTCTTTAAAATTATTGTTGGTGCAAAATTGCTATGCTCTGGTGTAGCTCGACAAGGAATTTACCAAACGCAATCAATCCTTTCACATGTAGTTGCACATGTATTCGTGATAATCCCATTTGCAATTATACAGGGTGTCCAAAAATGTTGGATGTCCTTGAATGGGGTGTTTCGGGGTGATGCGTGATTTGAAACAATTTCTTCTTAACGAAAATGTTGCTCGAGGCTTCGTTAAGGAGATATTCCAGAAACAGAAACCCCCGACCAATCAAAGCGCGAGTATGCCGGTGGAGCGCCTGCGGTAGCATAGGCTCGAAGCCTCGAGCTACATTTTCGCTAAGAAAAATTGTTTCAACCCCCCCCCCCCCTCCCCCACCCGCGGAACAATCCTTTTCAAGGATCTCCAACGTTTTTGGGTCATCCCGTATATTGCTCATAACTATTGTTATTGCATGAAACCTATTGGTTATAGATTGCCACTAAAAAGAGTGAAATAAAATAATTTTTTGGAAAAAAAATTAAACCGACTTCAAAAAAGGTACAGTGAAAAGTATGAAATAATTTCTAGGTAATTTATATGAATACGCGCTAGCTCTAGATGTAATTGCTTAAAAGTATGAGAAAATGCAGTGAAAAGTGTGAAATAATTTCTATTTAAACTACATTGTTATTCACCATCGTTTGATGAATTTGGTTAAATTATTAAATACATCATATTAAATGCAATGCAAATTGCCAAACTTGGTTTAACTTTCTGTCAGAGAAACAAAAAATATGGTCCTTAATTATTGCTATCATTACATCCACTTTAGACATCATATTCATTAACACTATTCAATATCGCCGCCGCCACCAAATACTATCCCAAACCTATGTGGATTGCATTTAATATGATGTATTTAATAATTTAACCAAATTCATCAAACGATGGTGAATAACAATGCAGTTTAAGTAGAAATTATTTCACACTTTTCACTGCATTTTCCCATACTTTTAAGCAATTATATCTAGAACTAGTGTGTATTCATATAAATTAACTAGATATTATTTCATACTTTTCACTGCATTTTCTCATACTTTTATCTAGAGCTAGTGCGTATTCATATAAATTACCTAGAAATTATTTCATACTTTTCACTGTACCTTTTTTAAAGTCGGTTAAATTTTTTTTTCAGAAAATTATTTTATTTTTACAATTGTCTTACACCCAATATAACCTGCTTACCCTTCTTCATTTAAATATAGATAGTATGAGCCACTCATGACGAGTCAAAAATATTGTCCTCCCGATACTATTTCTCTTAAATTAACCAAGTTAAAGTGAAGTAAATTGAAGCCTTCAATTTCTTTAAGCATCTACACAATTAACATTAAATCTATATGATACTATATTTATATCTATGATTTTATCTCTATAGAATCATCGCAAATAATATTTAATCTTATCAAATGATATTGTACTACAACAATGATATTTAATCCTTTTCCCAAAATGTTGATTTATTGCGTATATAAAACAATAATATCTTCATTTAGAAGCCCTTCTTAGAACAAATATTTCCAGAAATTGCCATTGTACTGTTACAATCGTATCGTGATAGATGGACTGATAAGACCATTGGTATCTCTAGTTAAATGACAAAGTAGTAGGCTTTATATGACCAGTCAAACTGCAGCTTTCTTTGATATACGCGTGATTTCAAAATTTTGGTGTGTCTACGCAAAGAAAATCCGCCATGTCAGCTCAGAGAATTATTGTTTACTTAGCAATAGTGGTTATTACCGTGCTCGTTACGAATGTGATCTGTATTGCTCACTGGGATTACGTTCGTAACAACACCAACAAGTTTTATCACTGGTTCCATGGGCAGAGAATGCCTGGTGATAGACTTGTTCTAAGAGAAAGGGTGGTCAAGAGTTCCCGTTGGGTGAAAGCGTTTGTCGAAGATAGAGTCTTCAACGCATCAAGATTTCACCGCATCACCATGGTTCTAGTGGTCGATCACAATATTAACAGCAATGGCACACACGTTAACCTCCTGGCAGGTGGTGTAGGATATAGCAACGTCCTGCTTAGATTTAGGAATCAAAGGAGCTATGGAATCAACTTCATTGTCGAGTTGTACGGGCGACCGTAAACTTATATTGCTGAATTAACTCTATATTAGGAACTCTATAGCTTAGGAATGCGTCCGATACGCGATTCGGAAATCATTTCTTGAAATCCGAATCGCGCAAACCGCGATTCAATAAGATGCATGTGAACGTTACAGCGAGTCAGAGGAATTTGGTGTCGTTCCGAATTCGTGGGATGACGAAAGTAGGGTTCACTCCACGCTAGAATTGGTAATTCCAATTGTTGATTTTTAACCTCCGTAGGTTAACGCGGACAGGTTAACCTCACGTGTACGCTTGGTTACCGTGTTGTTACCTGAAAGTCCGGCGTGAAAGAGTATAGTTCCGTGTCGCGAGTTAGACAAGTGGATTCTCGCAGCAAGTGAGCCCGAAACCTGACCACGAGTCCGAACCAGCCATAGAAATAAGGACATCGAGTAGTATTGTTAAAGAATCACGTTTATTGTATATTAATCCTTATAACCGCAACTTGTACTTCAAATCTTCTTTGTTACAATGATATATACTATATACCTTAAAATCGTTTCACAATCACTTGAAATCCACATTTATCCCTGACTCCTTGAAGAAATACAGATAAGGTGCGTTTTAGTATTTTAACTGAAGACCAAGATATCAGAAAAAGTCCCAGGCGACCTGTGATGTAACACTGTAATTGAGTGGTAACTTACACGAAATGGAAGTATCTATATCCACTCGTTCCTAGAATCTATTTGTTCATAACTTGTCGATACGTTTATAACATTCTATTACTATCTATTTCTATCGTGATAAGTGAACTGATAAGTTCATCAGTGTTTCTATTTAAGCGGTGAAGCAGGTCCACACTCAGTCTTCAGATTTGAAAGTTGTGTGTATCCATAGAAAAGAAGTTCACCATGTCGTATCAGAAGGTTGCGGTTTACTTGGCAATTGTGGTTATTGCCGTACTCGCTACAAATGTTAACTCCTCTTATCAAGAGGCTTACGCTCGTAATAATACAAGTTTGCCTCACCACTTGATCCTTGGAAAGAGATTGCCTGGTGACAGGCTTTTTCTAAGCCAAACGATAATCAAGAATTCGACCTGGTGGAACGATGTCGAGACCTGGAACTTTAGCATTGGAAGATACTCTCGTATCACCATGGTTCGTGCTCTCGATCAGATGATTAATGGCAACGGAGCAAACGCCACTCTTGTCCGAGGTGGACTAGGATTCAACAACGTCACACTTATGTTCAAGAGTCAAAAAGGCTATGGAATCAATTTCATCGTCGAGTTGTACGGTCGATAAGTTTATTTCGCTGGATGAATTAGAACCGTGTTATCCAAGCCAATCATTGCTTGGAAGCCAAGCAAATCATTTGTCTTTAATTTATTAAATATAACTTGTTTATTAGATATTTCTAATAATTAATTTACATTCCTAGAGAAGCAATAAAGAACTCATAAAACTTTGAAAATTCTTGTGTCAACTGAAGCGCATTTTTCTTCTTATTATGTATCTAGTTCCTAAATTTCTTAGAATTTCAAGAATCAGAGTCATGAAGGTAACAAATATTAATGCCGCATTTTTCTGATATAATACATTCTAATTATGTATTCAAAGTTTGTTAATCTCTGTCTCGAAGGGAGGATAATGTGTTACTATTGTCATACAATATAGCAACGTCCTGCTTAGGAAAATTTGACAGAAAAATTTATTATATATCTCTTGTTTTTATGATTCTATATCGTTAACGTATTATTTACTTTTGGGTAATCATCATCTTAAACATAAAAAATGGAATAGGAAATATAAAATCTACACACAAGACTGTCGTGGATAAAATGCAAAAAAAAAAATAATTCATTGAAATACGAAATTATATATTTTCTCTGATAAATGTATAATAGCTGCAGAGAATCGGCGCCTTCTTCGTTCAACTACTAACATAAATGACTACAATAAGTATTGTTAAAATCGTAAATCGATGCATATAAAATAGATAAATGCATTATCATTTGAACAATCGATGATATTGCGATACTCTAAAATATTGCGACGCAAAACGATTCATATACATCAAGGAACACAACTTTATTTTTGTACACAAACATCGTTATTAAAAAACATCGAAAATTCGAGACGTTGTTCCTCTATTCGTAAACTCTTTCTCATAGATTCAAATCGAAGGCAATTTTGTTAAACTTTTAACACGATCTCTTGACGACGTAAGTGAATTCAGCCACGATGCAGGAGCTAAGCGCATACACGAGGTAACATATTTGATGCTCACACGATTAACAAGCATCCGAGCAAACAACCTACAACGGGCTTGACAAAGCAGCATGAGTTTTGGTAATCGAGAGAATTTGTAATGTTACGAGCCGGACACGTAACTTCGCAATTCGTTCTAAGAAATGATCGAGGTAATACTTGGAAGATGGATTAAGACAGCTGAGTACAGAGAATGCCAGGAAAAATGTCAATATTCGTTCAGTAGCTATATCGATTCTCTGTAGTGTGTGTTCGGTTTGCACGAAAGTCATTTAACAGCATGGATAAACAATTTTTTTTTATGTCAAAGTATTCCGCCAAGCGTACAGCCGATTCCCGTTATCGTAATTAACGAAAGTAGCGATTTCGTCACTCATATTATAGGGAGGGATATCGGTACGTAGATAGATTCAGCGAACAGTTCTGAGAAAAAAAATAAGGAAAATTTAACGTTCCAGAAATATGTAGACACCACGAGATTTCACGTTCTTGACCATCGATGCAATAAAACTTGATATGGTGATTGTTACTACTTACTCATGGAAGAATATTTCGCGATTAAAGGTTATTCATGTTATTGAGCTTTGGTTTTGATAGATTTGTTTGTTAACGGCATTGAGAACGTTTGTGTGCTTAGTTACATTCGTTTCAGGAGCTAAGTTAGAGATTTAGAAGAAGCTTGAACGCACAGATACGAAACTGAGATATAAACTAAACACTTATGTATATACAGAATCATTCAAACATGAATATATTGTTTTAGGTTTTGATCTTACACAGGTGTGAGTTCTTTTATAAAGTATAACGATTAAGGGGTTAATGACATTATGAGATCGGTTATTGTTTGTTTATACGTTCAACAAAACACCTTGAAAGTTTGAAAACAATTCAACCCGTAGTTTCTTTATAAAAATATTTTCTGATAATACTTTTCTTAGAAGTGCCGTTACAGTGTTGTGCTCCATTAATTATTTGAGGAAAACAATATACTAATTGCACACATTAATTAATCGATAATCTAAAGTGCGAACATCTTTGTCTATTATCACATTTCCGTCGAACAAATCTTTCCAGTACAGATAAGCAAACTCATACGATCGTATCATGATAAGCAAACTGATAAGACGATCGACGATGATATTTAAAAGACGGAGCAGCAGACTATCTATCAACACGGTCTGCAGAGCTGTCGTGATACAAACGTGTTTTCAAAGTTTGTGCGTGCCTTAAAAAAATATCCACCATGTCCGCTCAGAAGGTTATGGTCTACTTGGCCATAGTGGTCATCGCTATGTGCGCTACAGAAGTGAACTCCACGTTTCCATGGGGTTCCAGCAACAATGCCGCAAACAAATCTCACAACTTCGTTGTTGGATACAGAATGGCAGGAGATAGACTTATTCTGAGGCAAAATGTAATCAAGAATTCGTCCTGGATGAGAATTGTTGTCGAGGAGAAAACGTTCAACACCTCGTTGTACGATCGCATCACAGTTGTTCAAGCTATGGATCAGAAGACCAACGGTAACGGTGCATACGCTAGCCTAACCGCAGGTGGTCCAGGACAAAACTTTGTCACACTTAGATTCAAGAGTCAAAGAGGCCATGGAATTAATTTCGTCGTCGAAGTATACGCACGACCTTGAACTAATTTTACTAGACTGATACCAACTGTATCATTCTGATCAAACTGCTCTTCTCTTTGTAACGTGAACGTAACATGCACTCGATATTTTATTTTGGGCAATATTTAATTTGTAACTCTTCTTTAAGCTATGTTGAAAGAACAATAAAATTGTCGAAACTTTTATGTCACCTGAAATAGTATTACTGTGATGTGTCTAGTTGCTGAATTTAAGAGAAATCCCTGTTGAAGAAAAAAGAGGTGGAGGAGAATGGAGGCGAGAGTAACAAGATTTAGCATTCAATCGTTTTTTTTTAGACTAATCACTTTGTTTTTTGGTTTGAAAATATTATTTTCAAATGATTATGTGTTGTCCGTTATTTTGAACGTTTACAAGGTAAATTCTATTGTGACGTTTGTAGATTTTGTATAAGACTCTGAAATAATAAGTTAAAACTCAAAAAAGCGTAATAATTGCAACTATTGCTTGTGACAGTTTGAGAGTTCATTTATTTAATGTATCAAAGTTTACACAATTGTTTTGTATCGATTCGACAGTCAGCTATTTCAATGCCAATGCAATGTATTCATAGTATCTTTACAAGCTTCAGTCTTATCACGACACAGAGGTAGTGTTGATAATATAGCAATTAGCGCTGATAGGAAACAGCACTGTCTTTATCGAAGAACAGATTGCAACATTTTTCTTATACAATGCTTGGGATCCCCAAAAAGGACCATATGATGTCTCGTTTAGCTATGTTATATTATTTATTTCCAAAGTTCCATTATTTTTAGAATTTAGTACTAATTTTATTTTAGTATATTTCTATTTAATATTTTATGTTTTGTAATATTGTATATCTTGTAGTTTGTACTCTTAAGTACCGCGTTCCGTTTCTTTATCTACGCGTATACTATATTTTTATAAGTTAGAATTTTCATAATTTTGCTTTTCTTTGTTTACTCGATATTCTAGGACTTACTCAACGACACTAACCCTAAAAAACGCATTTTAAAAAAAGTGTTGTTTGTCCATCTAGCCGTCTGCATGTTTCTGAGTCTAGAACTCGGAAGTGACTCAACATATTTCAATAAAATATATACACATGCAGACATCTTTCCTATTTAGAGAATACAGTACGGCTACTTTATATCGGGATCAGCTAGAAAAAGAAACTTTTTAACATTCACTCGTTCCGATTAATCCTTATGCATATAAAATATTAATTTTAATGGATTCTCTGAAACTGACATCTGAAGTTAGTACTACATACCATACCGTTCGTAAATATTTAACCCCTTCAGTAATCATTAAAAAATTAAAAAATGGAAAAAATAACTCATTCTTTTTTATGATCGAATTTTATTTACTGAACATAGATATCCCTCATAAAAGCCATTTCGGACCCAAAATGGGACTAAAGTTGATATCTACCGATTAATTTTTGTAACATTAATCCTAATACAAATATGTGAAAATAAAATTAAAACGACTCGCGTACACTGTACAAAAATGTACACAGGGTTGCCCATCTGTAATCTGCGCTTTTTCGCTGGATTAATTTCATTAATGTTTCTGCTAATATTTGTTTTCAGATTTTCGATAACTTCTGCCACCTGTCTTTCGTGCTTTGTGGTAGCATGGTTTTTGTCTTTCTATCTAGCTCATCCTCCAGTAACTGAATTAGATTGTGACCCGGTGATTGTGGTTGCGTCATCATTCTGTTCATAATGTCAGTTTGTTGGTGAAAAGTTATCCTTCCAAAACGACATGCTTCAATTAAATGGCATTGTACAGTCGAAATCTACATGTTTCGAATAGTTGTCAGCGGTACTGTACATACTATAATTGATGAATTAATAAACCAAGCCAAAATAACTATAAAGAGGGGGAGGAGCGCACATAAACTTAGAAAGAAGTAGTAAAAGATTAAGAGACGCTGCACTAATCAACCATATCCAGTTCCCAACCGTGGCTTTTGATAATTCTTTCTTTCGTCCATTTTCGGTTCCAGTGCGCTCGAAGCAGAATCCCAGCGTATTTCGTAGTTGTTTCTAAGTGGTAGAGAGATCTTCCGTTCCCAAGGCTTACGTACAAAGTACATTTTGTGCATGCATGCGTGACGGCACGGAGTAGGAACAACTGACTGGAAAATTGTTGTCGCTTCGCGGTGCATTCTACTAGCGGGATTCTACAAGCGGAGAAGAAACTTCGAATCGAGTTGAGGGCCACTGAAATTGGTGGTGGTATCTCAAGCTTGCGAACGACCATTTTGTTAACCTACTTATTCTCTCTCCGTTCTACTAGCAGGCCGGGTCTGGAGTGACTAGTTGTCTACATTTCCATCCATCGCAAAACGCACCCCCGACCCAGAGGGAAATACAGTTTTCTCTTTCACGGATTGTTCTTTAACGACATCAGCCTCGTGGGAGGTCAGTGGACATCTATTTCGTAAACAGAGACGAACTCGTTAATTAGCTTAAACATTGCCGCAGCGGAATTTCATATCAACGT